GTATTCTGTGAATCTGGGGTGGAGTGTCCTGTAACTGTCTATTAGGTCTGCTTGGTCCAGATCTGCATTCAAGTCCTGAATATCCTTGTTGACTTTCTGTCTCATTGATCTGTCCAATATTGTCAGTGGAGTGTTAAAGTCTCCCACTATTATTGTGTGGGAATCTAAGTCACTTTGTAGGTTGTTAAGAACTTGCTTTATGTATCTGGGTGCTCCTGCATTGGGTGCATATATATTTAGGATAGTTTTCTCTTCTTGTTGCATTAATCCTTTAACCATTATGTAACGCTCTTCTTTGTCTCTTTTGACTTTTGTTGGTTTAATGTCCGTTTTATCAGAGACTAGGATTACTACCCCTGCTTTTTTTTGCTCTCCATTTGCTTGGTAAATCTTCTTCCATCCCTTTATTTTGAGTCCATGTGAGTCTTTGCATGTGAGATGTGTCTCCTGAATACAGCACACCGATGGGTCTTGACTTTTTATCCAATTTGCCAGTCTGTGTCTTTTGATTGGGGCATTTAGGTAATTTACATTCAACGTTCATATTGTTGTATTTGAATTTGGTCCTCCCATTTTGTTACTGGCTGGTTGTTTTGTCTGATAGTTGACGTGGTTTCTTCATTGTATTGTTGTTCTTTACCTTTTGGTACATTTTTGCAGTGGCTGGTACTGGTTGTTCCTTTCCATATTTATTACTTCCTTCAGTAGCTCTTGTAAGGCCAGTCTTGTGGTGATGAACTCTCTCAGCAATTGCTTGTCTTAAAGGATTTATAACACTTAAAAAGCTTAGTTTGGCCAGATATGAAATTCTGGGTTGAAAGTTCTTTTCTTTAAGGATGCTGAATATTGCCCTCCACTACCTTCTAGCTTGTAGGGTTTCTGCCTAGAGATCTGCTGTGAGTCTGATGGTCTTTCCTTTGTGGGTAACTCGACCTTTCTCTCTGGCTGCCCTTAGGATTTTTTCCTTCAGTTCAACCCTGGTGAATCTGACAAGTATGTGTCTTGGGGTTGCTCTTCTTGAGGAATATCTTTGTGGTATTCTCTGTATTTCCTGGATTTGAATATTGGCCTGCCTTGTTAGGTTGGGGAAGTTCTCTTGGATAATATCTTGAAGAGTGTTTTCCAACTTGGATTTGTTCTCCCTGTCACATTCAGGTATGCAAATCAAGTGTAGATTAGGTCTTTACACATACTCCCATAGTTCTTGGAGACTTTTTTCATTTTCTTTTACTCTTTTTTCTTTAATCTTGCCATCTTGTATTATTTCATTGATTTGGTCTTCTATCTCTGATATCCTTTCTTCTGCCTGATCAATTTGGCTGTTGAAACTTGTGTATGCCTTGTGAAGTTCTCATGCTTTGTTTTTCAGCTTCATCAAGTCATTTATGTTCTTCTCTAAGCTGGCTATTCTAGTTAGCATTTCATCTAACCTTTTTTTCAATGTTCTTAGTTTCTTTGCATTGGGTTAGAACATGGTTTTTTAACTCAGAGAAGTTTGTTATTACCCACCTTCTGAAGCCTGCTTCTGTCATTTCGTCAGATTCATTCTCTGTCTTTTTTTGTTTCCTTGATGGTAAGGAGTTGTGATGCTTGGGAAGACAAGAGGTGTTCTGGTCTTTGATGGTTTCATCCTTTCTGTCCTGTCTTTTTCCCATCTTTGTGGATTTATATCCCTTTGATCTTTGAAGTTGGTGATTTCCGGAGGAGTCTCTGAGTGGATGACCTTTCTACTGAGGTTGGAGCTATATCTCTTTTGGCCTGTAGAGGGCGTTGCTGGGCTCTCTCAGATTCAGTCAGGTTGCTGGGTGGGTGGTCCTTCCCTGGAGTTTGTTGGCAGGTGAGATTGGACCCGCCTTCCCAATGGTGTCTCTCTTTCCCGGAGCTCGATCTGCCTGGTTGTGGTCAAACTAGTGTATTTGCTGCCAAACTCTCTAGGGAGGGCTTCAGTTTGAGTTCTGTGTGGTGGGGTCTGTCTCCCTGCTTTCGATTCTGCCTTTTTCTGTGTGACAGTCAGTCCTGCTTTCCTTCATCCAAACTTTTGCTCAGGTCCATGAGACAACTTGCTGCTCCCGGTGGGAGCTACAGCTCAGATTTGCATCAACAACCCATGAGGCGCCCCACAGTCTGGCAGGGCTCTTGTGGATCATGGGTTGCAGAAGAAATGAGGTTGGCACAGGATCCAAATCAGAGCACTGAGGGGGTTAAGTCCCCTGACCCTCCCAGCCGGCTGCATGTTCCATGTGGGGATGCTCCCCACCCTGTCTTGGTTTGCCTCTCCTGGGTGGCTCTCCCCCTGCAGCTCCTTCCTTGGGCTATTTTCAGTGAACCCCGCACTGTGTTTGGAATCGTGAAGTCCTCCAGCCCTCTGCATCTCATTTGCTGGGAGCTACATTCTGGTGTTGCCTTCTCTCAGCCATCTTGGCGCTGCCCCTCGCCCCTTCTTAACAAGTCGTTAGCCCTGTTAGATTACGGCCTCAACTTCATGATCTAATTTAAGCTCAATTACCTCATTATAGGCCCTATCTCCAAATGTAGTCACACTAGGGGTTAGGGTTTCAACATATGAATTTGCGGAGGGAGATGCAATTCAGTCCGTAATAGTTACCATGTCCCATACAGCCTACCAGCTAAAAAATCTTGAATGTTTGTTCGTTTATTCTATCCTTATTGCTCTTCAGATACTGCAATTAGTTTTTTCTTAAAAAAAAAAAAAAAAAAAAAAGGTTTAGAAATGAAATGTGCATTTCATTCTCTTCCCCTCCAGGAGTCAGGCAACTCTTCTGGTTTTGTATGTATGTACTTTTTTACACAAATGTTAATCTGTTTGTTCTACAAAAATATTTCCTCTGCAAACATGATTTTTTTTAACTTAACAATGTTATATTTAACTACTTAACTACTAACAATGTAGTTTTTATATCCATATAAGTACATTTTACAACCTTCTCATTCTATGTAGTGGCTGTAAAACACTACATTTTTTGGATGTAAAAAGACTTTTTAAAATCTATCTTCCACTGATCAGCATTTATGCTATTTCAATCTTTTGGCAGTATATGCTGAAATATAAAGTATAATTTTGAGAAGTATGGTTTTACACAGACAAAAGTATATCAGTATGATAAAATCCTGAAATTCCTAGATGAAAGGATTATGCATTTGTATTGTTGGTCAATGTGGCCAAATATCTGTAACATTTTAATTGGTTTCCTTGCAGTGAAACACACTACTTCCCAATTTGCCTCTCTTTGCCACACTGGCGTATGAGACTTTTCAATGGTTTTGTATTTACACTGGGTTTAAGCTCCTCTGTGCAGCAGGCAGAGCCCTTTATAATTTTTCCCTGATTGTCTTTCTACCCTTTATATTTTCTCGTTCTTTACTTTTTGCTTCTTCAATGCAAACTGCTTATAGTTCCATGCCACAATTCTCTTTGACTCCATGTCCAAGCATACATATCATTTCATTTTTCTGGAATGCTGCCTTTGGTATTTTTGCTTATGTAATTCTTATTTTATCTTTCAAAATTCAATTCAGTCATGATTTCCCCTGAGTTTTACCTGCTCCTTGAACCTACTGATGTTGTGGACTTATTAACCTGTGTTTCTGTGGGCAACAGTCAGCATAGTGTCTAGTGTCTGACACATCCTCAGATACCTTTTGCTCATATTTTAAAATGTTTATATACATTTTTAACAACATACTCTGAATTATACTCCAACAAACTGCCTGTTTATTTTTCAATTGCAGGCTGAACATAGAGATTCTATTCTCATGTCTTAAAAGATACACATGGATATTTAGCAATTTGACCAGTGTAGGTAATCTACATTTGATAATTCAGCCACTGTGGGTTTTACTTTGCTTGAGTTTCCTAATGTGACTGTGCTATCTGATTCACTGCATAGTTTCCACACCCTACCTTCATTTTCTTGTGTGTTCAGACAAGATTTATATTTTATACTGAACTCATCTCTCCACAATCATCATTTATCTGAGGAGCATGCAATGTATTACATGCATTGATGTATCACATGCATTGATGAACTTTTTCATTCATTCCACTAACTTTTAATGAGCACCTACTTTGTGCCAGACACTGCTCTTGGCACTAAGGAAAAAGACAAAATTCTCAATCTCATTATATATTAATGGGGAAACACAGGCAATAAGTAAACATATAGAATACAGTCACATGGGAGTAAGTAATGGGAAGAAAAATAAAACAGATAAGGGATTATTAAATGGGGGCAAGTGGGCCTATTAGTTTTAGAATTGGTAGTGAAGAACTTTCTGAGTAGGTGATATTTGAGCATTTCATTGTGTCAATGAAATGATGGAATGGCTATGTAAAGATATGGAGAAGCCTAATTCCAGGCATTTGGTATAGATAGTACAAGGCTCTGAAGAGGAAATTTGCTTGATGGATTCTCAGAACTGTAAGAATTTGAGACTAGCTGGAGCAGGGTGAATGAAAGAAGAATGGAAGGAGGTAAAATTATAGACAAGAAAGTACAAGATTGTATAGGGTAGTGTAGGTCCTGGTAGGAATTTGGGGTTTCATAGAGAGTCAACAGAGTTTTGAGCAGGGCAATCTCTGATCAGATTTACATTAAAAAAAAAAAAACTCTGCGTCTTTTGATATGAGAAGGTTGCGGGGAGTAGGATATTGGTAGCATAGGGAGAATGGATACAAGGTAATTGCACCTTTACAGAGAGAACACTGGTGAACAGTATAATGATAATTCATCAGTTCTGTAGGCTCTCATCTTAATAATTTCTGAAGAGACCACTTATCATTGCCAATAGAGTTTTAAATAACAGAGCAAAGCATATAAATAAGTACAACTTAAAAACATTCTAATTTTAAAAAGTCTGATTTGTGATGACTAATAATTAGTTCTACCTGTATTTTAAAACACAGAATTTTTTTATTAAAACAATTTTCTGAGTAGATACAGAAAATTTAATAATGCTTGCCTTTATGTCCTTTTAATTAGGCAGAAATTACAACAACAAAAAGAGCAGAATGTACAAAACCAAGAGACAGTCTGTTGTGTGAAGGGTCATTCGATGAAGAAGCTTCTGCACAGTCCTTTCAAGATGTGTTAAGTCAATGGAGAACTGGAAATCATGATGACAAGAAACAGAATTTGCGTGCAGAAAAAGGTATGGCTTTTTTTTTGAGGGGGGGTACAGTAGTATGATCTTGGCTCACTGCAACCTTTGCCTCCCAGGTTCAAGTAATTCTGCCTCAGCCTTCTGAGTAGCTGGGATTACAGGTGCGTGCCACCATGCCCAGCTAATCTTTGTATTTTTAGTAGAGATAGGGTTTTGCAATGTTGGCCAGGCTGGTCTTGAACTCCTGACCTCAGGTGATCCACCTGTCTCAGCCGCCCAAAGTGCTGGGATTACCATGCCTAGCCAGTATGGTTATTTTTATAACGTGAATGTTTTAAAATGAGGCTGACTTTAGTTTATTTGCCTCCATTCTCTGTGAATATAAATGTGATGTTCAAAAAATCTGTAAACACTGGGAAAGCAGTTTGCTATAACTCCTCAAAGGAATTTGCACTGTGTGATCATTGGTGAGTGGTTTAATATTTATAGGCACTCAATTGGGCACTAGAGGCATTTGCATTTGTTTTCTATGTAAATTCAGACTGTCAAATGAATGGATAATTGGATTCTTTAAGTTCTTCTTCTAGTAGAATATTTTTGCCAGGACAACTATTGTTTTTTTGAATGGTAATTGTAACACATAAAATGGGAGAGTCTGTGAGATAGAGAATAAATTTTTTTTTAGAATATTTGACCTAAAAATATGATTTTAAGGATCACTGTGAACTTCAGGGGGAGAATTGATTTGGGTTCGCATTGGTTTTGTTTCTTTGTGAATGGCTTTTGTTCTTTATTTTTTTATAATTTTCACTTCTGCAGTCTGTAGACATTGATGGTCTAGATGACTGAACAGTATCTTTAAGTTTTTCAGTGTATCTTGAGGAAAACTATAAGTTTTTAAAGTATTCAATTTATTAATTTTATTACTCAGAATCTTGTGTCTTCCAATTGCTTTTCATTGAATATAAAATATTAGATAAATTTCAATCATTTATCTTACTTGCCAATTTTACTTTTTATTTAATTCTTTTCCAGTGGAGAAACTTTCCTGATTATTACTCTTTTATTACACAGTGTAATTTCTAATCTCAAAGTAACACACACCATCTTCTAATTGAATTTTTAAATTGATTTTCTTCCAGTATTTTTCTGCATTTATTTATTACACATCAATTGACATTCTCAGGACATTATTTGTATGCTCTCTTCTTAGTAGTTTATATCTTAATATACACCTCATTTCTCATTGGCTATGTTATTTTATGTGCTTTATAATTGCTACTTCATGCATTTTGTTTCTACTTTTCAACCCTAAAAAGTACTAAGTATTCTATAGAAATACTTCTTTGTCTACTTTGAAAGCCATAATGTTTAAAATAATACTGTATTGAGTTGAAAAGCCACAAGGTCAGAAGTCTAACTCTTTTAAAATTTGTTTTCCATAATAGAAATAACTACATGATAAAAATAATGCTTATTTTAAAAGACTTACTTATAACAAAAAGTTACCAAGAAGAAAATGAAAATAGCTTAATCTCATCATATAGAGAAAATCCATGATAACATTTTGGTACATGTTTTTCAATAAACATAATGATGTACACACACCTGCACACACAAAAAATGAGGTATCACTGTAAATGCTATTAGTTAATTTGCATTTACACTGAGATTTCGTAATGGGCAACTGGCCATCTAAATAGAGGTATACACAATCATTTGTAACTCTTGTGTTCTATATGGAATGATTTAATCAGACATTTATTAATGAATATTTTATTTCTAATTCCCAGTATTATAAAAGATATTATGATAGGCATCTCAGCTATTTGTGCATTTACATTGTTACCTTTTTATTTTTATTTTATTGTTATTTTTATTTTACTTAAAATAAAAGTCTAAATATAGAAATGTTGTCTCAATGGTGATTTGTTTTATAAAATTTTAATGAATATTGTCAAACTGTCCTCTGAAGATCACTGCACTGGTTATACTCTCACTGGTAGAGTGTGACATGACTATTTTCCCATATTTTCTACTTCCTTAACTTTAGCCAGTTTGGTTGACAATAAATTATTATCATCATAACTGGCTTTTTCACCATCACTTGCAAAATAAACAATATTAGCTATTTTTTTTTTTGGTCATTACCTTTTGTTTTTATGATTTGCCAATATTTGGGCACAAGTAATGTTTTACATATTAGAGGTATACAACATTGCTCTCAATAATAATTTTGTCAGCAAATATTGAGTACATACTATGTGGTGGGGCAAGGGCAAGTGATATACAAAAGCAGTAGCAACCTCATCGGGAACTTACAGTCTAAGTGGAGGTTAGAAAAAGTCAATCAAATGATTAGCATAATTTGGATGAAGAGGTGCAATGCCAGTGTCCATACCGGGTGATATGATTTGGCTGTGTCCCCACTGAAATTTTATCTTGAATTGTAGCTCCCATAATTTCCACATGTCATGGGAGGGACCCGTCCTAGGTAATTGAATCATGGGAGTGCGTTTTTCCTGTGCTGTTCTTATGAAAGTAAATTCATCCCACAAGATATGATGGATTTATAAATGAGAGATGTATTTATAAAAGAGTGCTTTCTTGCCCACCACCATGTAAGAAGTCCCTTTGCTCTTCCTTCCTCTTCTGCCATGATTATGAGGCCTCCCCAGCCACGTGGAACAGTGAATCAATTAAACCTCTTTCCTTTATAAATTACCCAGTCTCAGGTATGTCTTTATTAGCAGCATGAGAATAGATTAATATACCAAGTGAAAATGGCATGCACTGAAGAAGTTGCAGCCTCCTTTCAACTGTATCACATGAGTTTGGAAAGCAAGTAGAAGAACACATTTAAAGGTGTTAGATTAGGAAATAAAAAAAAATCAGATTAGATGAGATTGTGTATATTAGTGTACATGTAATCGCCCAGGATTTGGATCTTAGCGTTTTGTCTCAAACACTTCAGGAATGACATTAGCAGTTGGCCAGTTTGGTTAACTAAAAACTGGACTTGATTTTACAGTTAATGAGAATGAGATACTGTAATTTTTCTGATATTTTGTGAAGGAAGAAGTTGGAAGGCTTTGGGAAATAGGAATTTTGGAATTGATAATGTGCAATCCACTTAGCTGTCATTACCAAGGCATTAAGCACCAGAATACTTAAATGGGTTTGTTGTGGCCTTCCTCTGTAGGCTGAAGATGATTGTGGAGGGGGATGCTTCAATGGAACCAAATATCCTGATTTCAAAGAATGGAAATGACAGAGGCCAGATGTTGGCACACAATCTTCAGAATTATGGTGGAAACATTACCAAAGTTAGGGTCAAGGAAGAGTAGTAAGTGTTTCAGTTCACAGAGATTTCTGATGTTAATTGATGTACCTAGGAATGAAAAAGTCGTGCAGCCACTGTTTTATCTGTAGTGGAAAATTTCTGTTTAATGGGCAGAGACCTGACTTGGGCCTCCATATTAGGGTTTTAATTATTATGAAGTCTCCTGACCCAAACCAGTTCACAGCTCTGGAATTTCTCAATTGAGGAAGAGACCGGATCTGCTGGAAGGCCAGAATATCAAGACCAACCTGGGCAACACAGTGAGACCTCATCTCTACAAAAAGATTAAAGTAAAGTCATACATGATAATGTGCACCTGTAATCCTAGCTAGCTACATGAGAGGCGGAGGATGGACAATCACCTGAGCTCAGAAGTTTGAAGTTACAGTGAGCTATGATCATGCAACTGCACTCTGCCCTCGGTAACAATGAGAGATCCTATCACAAAGAAAAAAAAATTGATTTCCATTCCCATTAACATTTAATATTGTCAGATTTAAAACTTTTTGCTTATCTGCTTGTGTGAGAGAGATGATTTTGTGTACCTCATATTACAAACGACATGAAACGTCTTTCACACATTTCTTGACCATTCAGCATAGTAGTATGCTTTAAATTTCTAGTGTTCTAGTTATTACTGTTATTTATTTTTAACTTGATTTTATTTTAGTGTTCCGAAGTCTAATCTCCTTCTGTGTGAAAGGCAGGTACTTTCAATGGGCTAGAAAGTTCTGTGTGATCCTGAAGTCTTTATCTCAGAGATGTCACCTCCTGTTACTCTCCTGCTGCCATGGCTGGTTTAGTTTTAGCCACCCCAAACTTCTGGCCAGTCTTCAAATGCTTCAGACTTACTTTCACCTTACGAATCTCCCGTTATCTATTAAGGAAAATAGCTATGATCCCATCATTTTGAGGATGGAGACTCTTATGCGCAATCTCAAAGTGTAGCCAGTGAACCATGAAAGAGCAAACAAAAACATGTTACATATCTTATTTGGCATTTCCCATACCTCATAAATCCGTAGGTTTGTTTACGACAAGCAATTCTAAACAAGGGCTAGCATTTTAAATACCCATATAGCTAAAGAGTCTCCTCCCAGCAAATATTATTAATTTATTTCCCCCTAGGTCTAGTTGTCAACATAGTCACAAATAAATTAATCCAGGTCACCTCCCATTTTTGTTTCTTGGGAATGCGTTATTGGTAAGGGAGAAAAGTGGATCACAGGCCAGCTGCTTTATCTTCTTTCTCCTCCATTCCCTTCTATGTTTGGAGCACAGTGGCTCTTCTCTAACACCTAAACAATAAGAAAAGAGTTCTTTTTTCTTTTTTTCCTTTTAGCTTTCCTGTCAAGAAATCTTGTTTCAAAATGAAAAGGGAGACTCATAGTGGAGGCATTTCTTTTCTCTCATGACCTGCTCATGTCCTTAACTCTGCTCTTTCAGTTCAAGGGCTTCTGACTGGTGTTTTTCCAAACTTTGTCCAATTGCTTTCTTCAGCACTGCTCTACTCTTTGGAAAGAATAGAAGTGGGATTTCTTACTTTCTTTTTGCTTTAATTTGTTTCCATGGCTGGCCTGTGGCTGTTTCTGGACGTTAATTATTAAAGTCTACAATATGAGGCTGGAACACCCTCTAGTTTCAGAGTTTATAAAAAATGTTTTTCCCATCTCTACTATTTCCCTTGGTTCTCCAGCATTTCTTTTCCCTTGTGATGTTCAGCTTGGAGACCGGTGATATGTGGGAGGGTGGAGAGACTAGTAATCCTGGATTTACACTGCTTTCTTTCTCAGATATCTTCATCAGTTTTAAATATCTCTGAATAGTGATTTAATTTAGTAGTGCTTCAGAAATATCTTAAAACATCTGGAAGTAAATTACCATGTAGACATAAATTCATGAAGACAATTATCGCCTGCAGATGTCATTCTGAATTACGTATTTTCTGTTTCTCAGAATGTATAAATATTACTGTCAGTAGCTATTATACTTTATGTGTATTATACCTTTATATTATGTGTTTATACAATGTATAATGAATGTTTGTATTTGTAATTTTCATTTAAAAGAATGAGTTGCTTTAACAAACATTCTGAATCATAATATCCCTTCATTTCAAGATTGTTGAAGAAAACTGTCTATCCAGTCACTTAATAAATTACCAATATTTAATACTTAACCTATTGATTATATAGGTAAATAGTAAAGCATATATGCCTTGAAAATGATAAGATCTACATCTTGAGAGAAGATATGGTAATTTATAAACTTGCTTATATTAATTATGCATATTGTCTTTATTTTTACAGACCCATCGGAAGAATGTGAAGTACAAACTAATCTGAAAATTTGGAGAGAACCACTTAATATTGAACTTAAAGAAGATGTTCTATCCTATATGGAAAAATTATGGCTTAAAAAACACAGGAGGTATTTTCTGAAATTGTAATATTGTTAGGAAATATGAAAGTTATATATGTTTCTTATATGAAATGCTTTCCTATAGCATTTGGTATGTATATTTCATATTTGCATACATAATTTTAAAGCAATATTAAATCTCTGTGAAGCTGCTGTTCCAATAAGAATTTTAATTCTATTTTTGTATATGATGCATCATTAATTTAGAGTTTGCCTTGAGAAATGGAAATGTGTATATAAGGAAAAGACAGAAATGAAGAAAAGAATTTAAGAATAACAACAAAAATAATGTGATAAATGAAAGATTACTTTGAGAAGACACCAGTTTTTTTATAGTAGCATTAACATTTGAGACTATAATTTTCAGAATTTACTTTTAAGTTAAATCTTTTTACAATTTTATTAATAGTAATTAAATATATTTTATTCAAAGAAATGTCACTAGATACAATCAGCTAGAGACTGTGGCAAAATGCATATTCATTTTTTGTAGCTCTGAAGTGAGGCCTGAGATTCTGTATTTCTGAATTTCTAATAGCTCCCAGGTGATAATGGTTGGATGAGGCTGGTCTCCAGTCTTTTTTGAAGTGCAAGGTGGTAAAGGAGCTCTCTAGAGTTTACCTGAGAAGTGGTCATCACACCCTTGCTTCACCTTCTGTTACGCAAAACCATCTCCTAAGGTGGCCCATTCTATCCGTGGAACAGTTATTCATTAAGCTGTAATCTGTTTCCAGCTCATTTCTAAACTGGGTTCTAATTCTACTTATTGAGTTCATACAGATAAAATCTAATTTATCTTCCCCATGGTATCTCTTCAGATTTTTGAAATCAGCCCTCATGCTTCCTGGAAAGCTTCTGTTTGATAGGTTAATACCTGTACCACCACTCATCTTCAACTGTTTTTAATGTCCTAGTTTTTTTTCTTTTGGATTATTTTGAAAAGAAGATATACAGATGGGTTGCAAAATAATACAAAGAATTCCTAAATAACATTCACTCATCTTTCCCTAATGGTAACATCTTACATAAACAGAATGCATATCAAAACCAGGAAATTGACATAGGGACAATATTATTGACAACAATAAATTTTATTTGAATTTTATCTGTGTTTTCACTATTATCCTTACCCTGATCCAAGATCCAATCCAGGATTACACATTGTATTTTTTGTCATATCTCCTTCTCCATTACAGTTTTTCAGTCTTTCCCTTCCTTTTATGACCTTAACACTTCAGAAGAGTACTTGCCAGGTGTTTCGTAGAATGTACTCAATTTGGGCCTGTCTGATGTTTTTTCATAATTAGATTGAGGTTATATAGTATGAGGAAAAATACCACAGGGAGGATGTGTCCTTCTCAGTGCCTGACATTCTGGGATCATGATGTCAATATATCTTATTACAGGTGATGTTAACCTTGATCACATAGTTAAGGTGGTGCTAAGTCTTTCCACTGTAAAAATCACTACTTTCCCTTTATAATTAATAAATATTTTAGAGGAGACACATTTAGTTGATGTAACAACTCTGTTTTCCCTTAGACTTTCACTCCTAATTTTAGAATTTGTGGGTGAATTTTGCCTGCAGCAGTTAATACTCTCTTGCTCTATTGCTGATATTCTATTTCCTTTGTTCCTTCTAAATTTATTAATTAGAATTCTTTTTCAAAGAAGTGTTCCTTCACCCACTTTTCTTTCTTTCTTTTTTTAATGTGAACTCATGAATATTTATTTTAGTTTGGGGATTGATATCTAATATTATGGTTATTTATTTTGTGACTCAAATTATTTCTACTTTGGTCATTCTGGGCTCTCTCAGGTTGACTCTTCCATCCTTTTTACTTGTCATCACTTTTTTGTTGTTGTTAGTTCGCTTTGAACATCTCTATTTTTCTAGAACTCAAAATGTATTTTCCCTGCCCCAGCGCAGGAATTATTTCTCCAGAAAATAATGATTCCATTTATTGGAGAATAGTGTTCAGAAACCAAGATCTGGACTCTAGGAGTGCTCATTACTATTCAGGTGCCATAGTTCTAGGCCTTCTCAGAGGAAGAAACCAGGAAATACACACACACACACACACACACACACACACACACACACACACACACATCTAAATTTATTTCTGTTTCTATCCATCTGGATATCTATTAAAGTAACATGAGTTCACACTCAGGCCTTCTGAATCCAAACCAGCATCACATGGTTCATTTCCATTCTCCCTTTGCTTATTTGATAAGTTTCTTTGACCTACAGTGAGAAACTTGGCTTTCGTTATCTATAAATGTATTAATTAACCCTAAAATATATATGTATGTATACATACAGTAGTTTCAGAATGACTAATATCACTGAGAGAAACAAGGGACAATTAGTTTCAAAATTACTATTAATAATATCACCAAAAGAAATTTTCCACTTAGAGTACACTCTTTATGTGTCATGCTTTTTATCTGTAACATATAGTATCTAGGCCAAATGATGTTTTCCAACACCACTTTGGCCATAGTGCTCATTTCTTTCTCATCTCCTTTAAGGTAGCTATGACTCTCTTTGGGTTCTCCCCATATCCTCATTGATTTTTAAAATTTGAATAAACTTGTGGTATACAGTTCTATGGGTTTTCACCAATGCATAAAATCATGTGTCTACCAGAGTACCCATAGTCCCCAAAAAAAGCAGTTTCACAACCACAAAAATGCCCTTGAGCTTTCTCTTTCTCCTCTTTCCTTTCTCAATCTATAACAACCATTCATCTGTTTCCTATCCTTATAAATGTGCCTTCTTCTGAAGGTTATATAAATGAAATCATACAGTATCTGTCCTTTCATGTCCTTCACTTAGCAAAATGTATTTAAGATTCATCCATGTTCTTCTATGAATCAATATTTGTTCTGGCTGGTTTCCAGTTTCTGGCAATCATCACTAGGTCCTTTAAAAATATTTTCATAACAGGTTTTTTTTGAATATAGGTTTTTAATTTCCTGCCTAAATACCTGGTACAGTGACAGCTGGGTTCCATGGAAAGTGCGTGTTTATTTTTATAAGAAACTGCCAAACTGTTTTTTAAATTGACTGTACCACTTTCCATTTGCTCCAGTAAGGTATGAGAGTTCCGGTTGCTTCAAATCCTTTTCAACACTTGGTATTTTCAGTTTTGTATTTCTTTTGGTTGACATTTTAATAAAGTATGTAGTTTTATCTTATTGTGGTAGCTTATATGGCAGAGGTTCAAGATAATTCATTTATAACTAATGTCCAGGCTGTATATATATTTTTAAAATATGATGCCCATAATAGCCCTTCAGGAGTTTTTTTTTTTGGTACTGTGGTAGACACACGACTTTATGCATTGCTAAAAACCCACAGAACTGTACACCACAAGTTTATTCAAATTTTAAAAGTCAATGAGGATATGCATAACAAGAGTGTGTATCTGTCAGTTGCCTTTCTCTAATTTAGCAATTAGCATATAAATGTAATTCCAAAGTCATTTATCATTTTTGGTGGCTACCTTTCAATGCTGGGTCATATTGAGTTGCTTATATGATAAAGGAAACACAATTTTGTTATTAAATGACAGCATCACTTGAGCCTGAACACATACAAGACAGTTTCATCAAGGTCCTGAGCTATGCTAACTCTGCATGTTGGCCAGTTTCCTTAGCAGAAAAAAAACTTGGCTTTATGTTCAATAGGGTCTTATTTACATGGTTATTTTTAATGGTAATCTTTTTTTGAGCTAATACTTCATGTCTCAATTATAGATGTCAATGTAGGGCAATCTATTTGCAATTCACAGCTTTCTGATGCCTTTCTGATGCTGTGCTTTAGAAAAGTTTCTCATGGTAATAACCATGATTATGATTTTGACTTTACTTTTGCCTATCGTATTTCATAGTAGGCTTATAAATATATGTTCTGTGGCTTTTAAATATATTTTACTGATTTGGATAGTAAAAGTCTTTTAAAATTTACCTGGGATCGATAGAGATGTGTTGATAGACCTTTTTTCTCCTAGCTTTATTGAGGTATGAATAACAAATAAAATTTTATATATTTAAGGTTTAAAATATGATATTTTTATAAATGTACACATTGTACAAGAATTACCTCAATTAAGCTAATTAATATATCCATAATTTCACAGGTGTTTTGTGTGTGACACTTAAGATCTATTAGTTATTAGTTATTATACTGTACATTAGATATCCAGAATTTATTTATTCTGCATAACTGGAACTTTATAACCTTTGCCCAACATATTTCAATTTCTCCCAACTCCTAACCTCTGGCAACTACCATTCTACACTCTACTTTTGACTTTGATTTTATATCAGTGAGATCATACACTATTTGTCTTTCTGTGTCTAACCTGTTTTATATAGCATAATGTTCTCTAAGATATGGAAACAACCTAAATATTCATCAAGGAATGAATAGATAAACAATATCATATAGGTATAATGGAATATTATTGGACCTTACAAAGAAGAAAAATCCTACCTTTTGTAACAACATGAAAGTGTTGCTACATCTTAGTAGCAACTCCTAGAGTGGATCTTCTACATATGGGAAAGCTTAATGATAGAGTGCAGAAGTTTTGGATTGAGAGTATTTTAAAGGCAGATGTTAGCATAGCTGATATTCTGATTCCAGTTCCCTTGCTCTTTTCATTGTGTGTACTTCGCAAGTCTAGCTAATCATCAGAGGCACCTGGGGAAAGTGATTCCTGGACCCCAGAATGATCTAAAAATTAGTGTCTTCAAAAATAGGTGTGAGACTTAGCATTTTAAAATAGTATTCCTTGGCCGTTTGGATGCAAACAGCCTAACACTGATTGACATAATAGATTCATCACACATTTAACCAACTGAATGGGTCAATGCTCAATAAATATTTTCTACATTTTAAAAGTGGAAAATATGGTGAGGTAAATGCTATAGAAATATATTTCATCCTTTTTTTGTGTCATAATCATTTTTTAAAAAAAGCACTGTTGCCAGGGTTTAAATATCCAGAATCCAGAATTAGTTCACTAACTAGTTATTTATTTATAGGAAAATCACTTCAATTCTTGTGGCCTAAGTTTTCTTATTTGCAAAATATTGCATTTAGAAAAAAACAATTTATATGACTCTGTAAGCTACAATAATTCATTATCTAGACTCTACAAGTCTTTGGTTCACGGATTTTACTTATAAATTTAGACAGGTTTTTGCTTCCCTAATAAAGAACGTCTGAATAACAGTATACTTATGTGTATGTACGATGAATTTTAGTTTGGTAGATACATGTCAAACTAGAAAGAGGTTTCTTGTAGCCATCTGCTAGTTTGTCGTCGACCATCACTCACTATTTTCATCTGTCCCTGAATTAAATTACGGATGTAGAATGCCACACTCATCAAATTTGTTAGGACACAAAGTTAAATAATACATAAATATTATGTAGTCATCTTATATATACATTACATATATTGGGAAAACACAGATAACCATAGACTACCAGAAGATTATCAGCACCTTAGTGCCTTTGAAAGTTGTAGAAGAGGCATTATAAAGAAGTGCATGGTTAAGAACATAGGCTTTGAGAGGCAGACTGCTTAAGTTCAAATCCCTCTTCTGCATTCACCACCTGAATGACTCATCAAGTTGGTACCCCACTTTGTGTCTCAGTTTCATCCTCTGTAAAATTAAGATCATACTAGTGCCTATTTAATATCTAATAAAATTTAATGTACCAAAATGAGTTAGAACAGAGCCGGGTATATTTTATGTTTCGTATCCATATTAGCTACAAATATCATTAAAAAGGCTCTGCCTTTTACATGGGGACTTCATGAGCTTCCATGGTCTGGAAGGATAGTGCAGCTACTCACATTCTTGGCTAAAAAGTGACCCTTCTCTCCAATAATTTGGTTACATACTGTGATACAAAATGCACACTTTTGACCTCTGAGAATTCCTGGGCTTCACTGCCTTGCATATGAATGGGCTGTGTCAGTCTTCATTGTTAGTTAAGGGATAGATACCCTCGTCCAAACACCTTACATTTTTATTGTAGGAGCCTATGTTATCACCCTGCTGGCATGATGGAAGTTTAGACAAATGCCCTCAGGTTTCCTTAAAACTCATTAATACAATGTCAAGACTGTCAACTAAAATTCACATTCATAAATTAGCTTTTTAAGTAGCATGGTATTTTAATGGACTCCATGTGGTTTTTGAGAGAACACTGACTTGTAGCAAACTTTGATTTTTATCTTAAACAAAACTCAGTAGGATATGCAATTTAAAAATCTGTGGTGTCAAGTTGGTTTACACAGTTTTTCTTAGTACATTAAAATTCTATTATATAATTATACTTATCTTTAAAGATACAGTTATGGTTTCACCATTAATTTTGTATACTTACTCATTTGATAAATCAGAAGCTTGTCTGGGAAAGTTTCAGGTAATATATTTCAGTCTCTTAATTGCTTCTTTTTTATTTTGTAGAACTCTGCAAGAACGACTTTTTAATATGCTACCAGATACATTCCTACAACCATGTGAAACCACTGGTGATGTACAGTGTTCTCAAAATGAAAACAATGAAGATAGTGATGGTTAGTTCATACTTGATTAGATATTTTTAAATTTTATTATTTCAAGTCATATAAACTAAGCTTTAATCAGAAGCTGCTTTTGGTTTTCTTTAATATATTAGTCTCAGTTGTACTATATAGTCTTTTATCTTCAGATTAAAATAATGTACACTCACTTCTTTCCCTTTCTCTGGATTTACTTTGCCTTGATTTAGATAGTTGTTTTTAAAAATTGAATGCTAATAAATGTGTTTTTCACTTGAACTGGGAAAATTGACAGTATTTGCATTTTTGTGTAGATACACATGAAAACACTCTTCTTTTTTGGTGGCTACCTTATTTGAAGAAATTATGAAGTAGGATATATTCTTTGATGATATTATTTGTGAATCTTATTTTCTAGGTGAGGAGCCCAAAGTACAACACTCAGCTCTTTTACTGCCAATAGAAACATTAAACAGAGAGAGACCTGAACCATCTCTAAAGATAGTTGAACTGGATGATGTAAGTATGTAAGTGCATAATGACATTCACACTTTTTAACGGGAAATTCACAATGTATAGTTACATCTGCATATTATTTTCATTAAGATTTCTTAAATAACTAACATAGTTTAACAGAAAATTTACAAGTGTTTGCTTTTAGATATGCTTATAAGAATAAAGCAATATTATTCTGAATGTAAAGAACACATTCGTGAGCTGAACTGGTATTGTCATTTTTTTCTGATGAATGTGTAGTCTGGGAAGTGAGAAGGCATTTCATTATTTTAACTTGTGATGTAGTTTGATATTTTGTTAGTTTAGTTCTTTATGTTATCAGGTTTTAAAACAAATATGAGTCTCATTACATGGTATCTATTTAATAAAATTTAAGTGTAAATCTCATTTCTTTAATGTCATTTAATATTATTTTCTGTTTAAAGGTAGAAATAACATTTAAGGCTTAAGAAATTCAGTAAATAACTTGAATATAGCTTTGAACATATATAGAAGACACCAATAGAATGAAGTAGAACCAGAGCCAGTCAGAGCTAGAGCTCTGGACTGAAGGTTTAGAATATGATATACTCAGTGCATTTCTGACTTTCTAGTAATCTAGTAGCTGAATGTGTCACTTGTCTTAGATATTTTTTTTATTGTGATTGTTAAAGAAAATGACTAGAATGGAAAACTTGCCTCTTTTACATACCGACTTCTTCCGTTCTTCCTTAGGATGAATGCTTCTGCTATTTTGTTTTTTTGTGTGTGTTTTTTTGGCTAGTAACACTTTTATTTCTCCTTGATAAATTTGAGATGCTGGACAAAAACACACACACTACATATGTGTGGGTATGCCATTCATTACATTGTTGAACACAGAGTAAGTTTATGATGAACCAGTCGGAGAACTGAAGACCTAGTCACTAATCTACTTGGCAGTTAGTAGTTACATATTTAAATATAAGTTATGATTGCTGGTTTGGGGTATTATAATAGTAATAAAGTAATTGACATATGAAATGCCTTTACCAAATGTCAGTTGAATTTTAGTTTTCCTAGAACTTATGTGTTATAAAATACAATTAGAGCTCTCATGACATAATTTGTAGGAAAACTGTACTCTAAATATCATCCACAAGTAAGTTGGTTAATGTATAATAAATTTTTATGAACTTACTAATATTATATAACATTAATTTCAAAAGACTTATGAAGAGGAATGTGAAGAACCAGAAAATAGTGTGCCTTACAAAGTGGAATTAGCTGATGCAGACAGTCAACACAGGTAAAGCCTTTCTAATTAACTTTGTTTGCATATTGAGTCACTGCCTGACACACATAAACACACAATCAACTCTCTTTTTAATATGAAATTTGTGGTGTCAAAAAACGTGATGTTAATGTTATATTTTACTTAAGCCATGTTTAAATTTCTACATAATATTGCTAATATTTAACAACATTCAGCTATTAGAAAATTGTCTATAGTGATAGGTTTCTACTCTTATCTAATATTTGGATTATTGAATAAATTCTTCTGACCTTAGGGATTGTTATCATCTGAAGTGCTTGATCAACTTTGATATATTTTATATGAGCATTCTTCTTTTCGCCAAAGATACTCTGTATTTTCTTCAGTTTTCTATAAACTTTAAATAAATAAAAAGTTGTATAAATGATTAGGCTGAGAGACTAAAAGAGCTCCTGTACTATAGATTACTTTGTAGGTAGATTTCAATGTATAATAAAGTAAATAAATGAAATATAATGGTTCACTTTGTAATTGTGTTGTAGAATTTTGTCATTTCCAAATAAAAAATTGTATCTAACTGTATCTGTTAGTAATGTAAAAAAAGGCCCTTTTTGCTCTTGAAACTTTAGGATTTGTAAACAGTGGAATGAAATTTCTGTCAAGTGCCTCCTCTACCAATTCTTTATTCAGATCAGCTCAGGCCCCTATCAGTATTTTGCAATAGCTATGGGCCTGAGTGATTCCCCTGGACAGAAAAAGCCCATGTTTAGACACAAAGAATCAGCTATCTAGCAGCAAATGTGCTTTTGGAAGTGGGGTTTCAGCAGGAGACAACTTTCTGTTCAGCAGATAAGAGGTTTATATCCACCACTCTATCTCTAAGGAAACGAATGGCATTTCTGTTCTCTAATTTGATTCTTTTATATATCTTATCACATGTCTCTGCTTTGACCCCTGTGTAAGGTGTTAGAGAAGGCAGAGAAAGTTACTGATCATGATTTGACCGTAGTTTTACAGCTTCGGTTTGAGGTGCCCATAGAACTACATTAATTTTATCTCTCTCCTATGGATCATGAGTGACACAAGAGGACTTTTTGGTTGAATATAATCCATAAGTTTTATGATGGCATTCTGTAGAGCTTATATAAATATCATGTATTATTATATATATTATTTAGTTCATAAAGAATGTTATTTAAATTGTAACTATGCATATAGTTAGTAATCATTATTAAAAAGTGAAAACTAAATATCACATACTGCTTTTAAACTCTCATATCTCATTGATGAACAAGTAATATGTTTATCTACTAGCAAATCCTTGATTTCATTAAATTTTAATGAGTTTGAAAGAACACTCCCTCTTTAGAGGAAAATGTAAGAAATTAACTCAAGATATCACGTCCTGCTTTTAAACTCTCATATCTCATTGATGAACAAATAATATGTTTATCTACTAGTAAATCCTTGATTTCATCAGATTTTAATGAGTTTGAAAGATAACACTCCCTCTTTAGAAGAAAATGTAAGAAACTAACTCAAGATACCTTGGAAAAGAAACATTCAACTGAAATTTTTGCAGTTAACTTGGATTTGGTCCAGTTACCTATTCCTGTTAAATCCATAATGTTATTAGCTACTTACAGTTGAGAATGTGTTCACAGTAAGGTTAAAATAAATATTAAATTAAGACAAGTAACCCTACTCTATAAAGGTTTTATTGTATTTGTTTTAATGACCTAGGACTTTTAAATTTTTCTTTTTTATATCATTTTCACCTACATTTTGTTTGTCCCTACATGTGAAAGTTGTGCTTTTCATGATTATCAGAAGAATAGCTTTCCATATGAAAATCACATCCATGAACATCATGTTTTCAATAAGGGGAAGAGAGACTTCTTAAGTCTTTGTCTGAGAAACAGCTCTACTTATTATAAAGATAATTCAAAAGGTAACATTTTTCTTGTTGCTCGATATTATTAATGGTGCATATTGTTAATTTAATAAAACCAATAGCTATTGCCGTCGATAAAAGCTTTGTTATGCTGCTCATTTTAAAACCAAAAAAAAACTAAGTATAAAGATGAAAATTGATTGAAAATAAATAATTTTCTAGTAAATATGCAATTTAGTAATTGGAAGTCCATGGACAACAGTGTATGTGTAATAAAAATTAGCCAATATAGGGTACTCTGGAAGTTATTACAGACTAAGCTAGCATTTAAAAGATCGTGTGGAAGGCCTTTTAGTGACAAACGTCTGACTGGCACCCTCTTGCCATCACTTGCACTAAATATTTTACAAAAATATTCAAATCCAATATGAAGTTTCACATGAGGGATAAACCTACATTAATCACTGGCCAGGCATGGTGGCTCACGCCTGTAATCTCAGCATTTTGGGAGGCTGAGGCGGGTGGATCACCTGAGGTCAGGGATTCAAGACCAGCCTGCCCAACATGACAAAACCCCGTCTCTACTAAAAATAAAAAAACAAAATTAGCCTGGTGTGGTGCCGGATGCTTGTAATCACAGCTATTCAGGAGGCTGAGGCAGGAGTATTGCTTGAACCTGGGAGGTGGGGTTGCAGTGAGCTGAGATTGTGCCACTGTACCCAGCCTGGGCAAGAAGACCAAAACACTGTCTCAAAAAAACCAAAAACCAAAAAACCCCAGAAACAAAAAAACAAACAAAATAAACCAAATCACCCTGTTTATATATCTGTGTTGCTATTACTAGTAGTTCCCTAGGGATCTGTAGATTAAAATGCTGTGTGCATATGTCTGGTTTCAATTTCCAGATTGTGAGATCATTTAAAGAGAGTCACAGCAAAGTATCCTGACCTAGAAGTCAGATTTTGTTTCCATCTGTGCCTTTAAATCACTCTGTGACCTTGAACATGTCTTACTTGGTTAGACTTCATTTTCCTTAGCAAAAATGTAGCCACTAGATAAGTTTCAAGCCTCCTTTTAACTACTAGATTTTATCTACTTAGAATTTTAAGAAAAATTAATAAATATATCCTATGTGAAGATAAGATTTTTGAGAGATATAGGAGGGCATATTTGAAATAAATAGTTGTAAAACTGATGATTACTTTCTGATTACGCAGCAGAAGGTAGAAAGCAGTGGTAGATGAGTGGTAATCTTGCTGGTCTTGACATTTTCAAATACTAAACCACGAAATTATTAGGCCAAATATGAACTACAGCCATATGGGAATTTGGGACTTTACAGTACTCCAGTCTTGTCCTGAAGATGAGTATAGTTTGATCAAGCTAGAGCATGGTGTTCCTGTTGCCTCTAAGAAAATGGTGCACATAAATGCCCATGTAATTGTTACTTTAAAGACACATTTTTGAAATGTTTACTTTTTTGAGCAGTTTTAGGTTCACAACAAAATTAAGCAGAAAGTACAGAGAGTTCCTATATATCCCTTGCCCCATACGTATACATATACATAGCCTCCCTCATTTTCAATTTCTGACACCAGACTGGTACATTGGCTACAATAGATGAATTTATTCTAATACATCAGTGTAACTCAATGTCCATAGTTGATATTAGAGTTCACTCCTGGTGTTGTGCATGCTATCAGTTTGACAATGTATAATGTGACGTGTATTTACCATTTGTAGTATCATACAGAATACCTTCTCTGCCCTAAAATTCTCTGTGCTCCACCTGTATATCCCTCCCTCTGACCAAACCCTGGCAACCACTGATTTTTTTTTTTAACTGTTCTTTTAGTTTTGCCATTCCAGAATGTCATATAGTTAGTACATAGCCTTTAATGATTCTTTGTAATATGCATTTGAGGTTTCTTCATGTCTTTTTATGACCTGATTTCTCATTTCTTTAAGAGCTAAATAATATTCAATTGTATGGATGTATAATAGTTTATTCACTCCCCTATTAAAAGAAATTTTGGTTGTTTCCAAGCTTTGGCAATTATTAACAAAACTACTATAAATACTCATGTGTAGGTTTTTATTTGGACTTAAGTTTTCAACTCATTTGGGTAACTACCAAGGAGCATGACTACTGGATCATGTGGTACAGGTATGTTTAGTTTTGTTTTAATAATTGCCAAACTGTCTTACCAAAGTGGCTATACCATTTTATATTCCTGCCAGTAATTAATGAAAGTTTCTATTGATTCATATCCTCACCATCATCTGTTGTTGTTTCAGATTTTTTCCATCCTAGTAATTGTGTAGTGATATTTTACTTTTTAAAAAATTGCAGTTATCTGTTGACATTTGATATCAAGAAGCTTTTAATATGCTTATTTGCCATCTGTGTATCTTTATTAAAATATCTGTTCAGGTTTTTAGCTAATGTTTTGGTTGGGTTGTTTGTTTTGTTATTGTTGAGGTTTTAGATTCTTTTGTATATTTTGAATCACAGTCTTTCACCAAATATCTTTTCCAAATATTTTCTTTCAGTGTATGGATTGCTTCTTTATTCTCTGGACTATTTTCCACAGAGTATAGGTTTTTATTTTAATAAAGTTTAGCACATGAATTTTTTCTTTGATGTTGTATCTAGAAAGTTATTGTCATACCCAGTGTCATCTAGGTTTTACCCTATGTTACCTTTCAAGAGATTCATAGTTTTGCACTTTATATTCAGGTCTGTGATCTACTGAGCTGAATTTTTTGGAGATATAAGGTCTGTGTCTATATGTATTGTTTCGTATGTGGATGTGGTACTCTGTCCCATTGGCTCCAGGTCCAACCAGGGTTAAAAGGGGCCAAGATACAGTTTGGGCCATGGCTTCAGAGTATGCAAGCCCCAAGCCTTGGTGGCTTTCACATGATTTTGGGCCTGCAAGTCATAGAAGATAAGACTTGAGGTTTGGAAACCTCCATCTAGATATCAGAGGATGTAAAGAAATGCCTCAATTTCCAGGTAGAAGTCTATTGCAGGGGTAGAGCCCTCATGAAGAACCTCTGCTAGGGCCATGCAAAGGGGAAATGTGTGGTTGCAACCCCCAGCCAGAATAACCACTGGAGAACTGCCTGTTGCAGCTGTGAGAAGAAGGCTACCATCCTCCAGACTACAAATGGTAGATCTGCCGACAGCTTGCACCAGGCAAGCCAGTGGTGTTAGTAAATTTTATTGAAGTAGAAGTGTTCAGCAGCAACAAAAGCAGTGTTCCTTTCAGAGCAGGGTTACCTCATAAGCAGTGTATCCAGAGAAGCATCTCGGAGGTGGTTCTACAGTCATGTTTTTAGCCACTTTTAATTATATGCAAATTAAAATATGAGTTATTCAGAAATTTCTAGAAAAGGGGTGATAACTTCGGGTCATCAGGTTGTTGCTGGGGAAACAGGTGGTAGCTTCCAGATGTTACCATAGCAATGGTAAACTGACATGTCACAGGTATGCATGCCTTTTTTTTTAACTTTTAGTTCAAGGTTACATGTATACGTTTGTTACATCAGTAAACTTGGGTCATGGGGGTTTGTTGTACATATTATTTCATCATCCAGGTATTAAGCCTTGTATCCATTAGCTATCTTTCCTTCTCCTGTTGCGCCTACAACCCTCCGCCCTTCAACAGGCCCCAGTGTGTGTTGTTCCCTTCTATGTGTCCATGTGTTCTCATCATTTTGCTCCCTCTTATAAATGAGAACATGTAGTGCTTAGTTTTCTGTTCTGTTGTTAGTGTGCTGAGGATAATGGCCTCCAGCTCCATCCATGTCCATGCAAAGTACATGACCTCGTTCTTCTGCATAGTATTCCATGGTGTATATGTACCACATTTTCTTTATCCAGTCTGTCATTAATGGGCAATTGTGTTGATTGCATGTCTTTGCTATTGTGAATAGTGCTGCAATGCACATACATGTATATTATCTTTATAACAGAATGATTTATACTCCTCTGGGCATATACCCAGTAATGGGATTGCTGGGTTGAATGGTATTTCTGTTTTTATGTCTTTGAGAAGTCACCACACTGTCCTCCACAATGATTGAAATAATTTACACTCCTACAAACAATATATGTGTTTCTTTTTTTCCCCAACTTCACCAGCATGTGTTATGTATTTGAAATTTTAACAATAACCATTCTGACTGCTATAAGAGGGTATCTCATTGTGGTTTCAATTTGCATTTCTCTAAGGATCAGAGATGTTGAGCTTTTTCTCATAGTGTTGTTGGCCACATGTATTTCCCTTTTAAAAAAGTGTCGGCTCATGTCTTCATGTCTTTGTCCACTTTTTATTGAGGATTTTTTTCCTCATAAATTTGTTTAAGTGCCCTATAGCAGCTGGTTATTAGACCTTTGTTGAATTCATAGTTTGCAAAAGTTTTACCCCATTGTGTAGGTGGTCTGTTTACTCTGTTGATAATTTCTTTCACTGTACAGAAGCTCTTTCATTTAATTGGACCCCATTTGTCAATTTTTTGCTTTGCTGCTATTGCTTTTGGCATCTTTTTCATGAAATCTTTGCCTGTGCCTATGTTCTGAATAGGTTGTCTTCCAGGGTTTTCCTAGTTTTTAGATTTACATTTAAGTTTTTAATCTATCTTGAGTTAATTTTGGTATATGGTGTAAGGAAGGAGTTCAGCTTTAATCTTCAGCATATGGCTAGCCAGTTATCCTACCATCATTTTCTGAATAGGAAATTCTTTCCCCATTGCTTGTTTTTGTCAGGTTTGTTGAAGATCGGGTAGTTGTTGGTGTGTGGTCTATTTTCTCGGTTCTCTATTCTGTTCCATTGGTTTATGTGTCTCTTTTTGTACCAGTACCATGCTATTTTGGTTACTGCAATTTTTCAGTATTGAAGTTGGGTAGCATGAGGTCTCTGGTTTTGCTGTTTTTGCTTAGGATTGCCTTAGCTATTGGAGCTCTTTTGGCTTTCGGTTTGGTGTAAAGGAATGCTAGTGAGTTTTGCACATTGATTTTGTATTCTGAGACTTTGCCTAAGTTATCAGTTTAAGAAGCTTCTGGGCTCTAACTATGGGGTTTTCTGGATTTAGGATCATGTAGTCTACAAACAGGTATAGTTTGACTTCCTCTCCTATTATTTGGATGCCCTTTATTTATTTTTCTTGCCTGATTGCCCTGGCTAGAACTTCCAATATTATGTTGAATAGGAGTAGTGAGAGTGGGCATCCTTGTCATGTGCCAGTTTTCAAGGGGAATGCTTTTGCCCTTTCAGTATGATGTTGACTGCAGGTTTGTTATATATGTGTTTTATTATTTTGAGGTATGTTTCTTCAATACCTAGTTTATTGAGAGATTTTAACATGAATGCATGTTGAATTTTGTTGAAAGTCTTTTCTGCATGTATGTGGGCATGTATTATGGAGAGAGGTACTTTTGACTCTTTCCTGTTTCCACTATTCTTGAATTTGGTTTGGAGCCCAGGCCCTGCTTCTGGAGTCAAGTCCTGCCTCCTATTTACGTTGTAGGCACTTTAATATAGGAAATAGCATTTTTTTTTTCTCCCCGCAAATTGAGTAATTTCCATTCAGATTTAAGAGGGAAGTACATTATTGTGGAAGTTTTATTGTATCAAATAACCTTTATTGTATCAAATGAAGGTTATCTTCTAAGGGTGTTTCTCCCAATATTTATGCTATCTAAGAAGTAGCTGTAGTTGAAAAAGTTCTGAATACTATGTGTAATTGTTGAGCTATATATAAACATTTGATTGCAACAAGTAAGTCTTTTGTAAGGCTGTAAAGCATTTACATCACTGGAGACAGTTTTATTCAAAGTTTCTACTGTTTTACGTAGTCTACTTATAGAGATATTTGTTTTTGGAGCAGAATAAGGGATAAGCAGAGGAAGCTATATTCAATGTGGATAATGGGGTACATATATTTAAAATGAAAGCTGTATGGTGTAAACATTCAAAGAATTTGTATTTTTCAGAAAGTCTAGGCCAGTGTTTTGCTTACATGCTACACACTGTAATCACCTGGAGAACTTAGCAAGGGGAAGTTTAAAAGACTAGTGCCAGAGTCTCACTCTCAGGGTCTGATTTCATTGGTTTGGGGTCAGGCCCATACATGGACAATTTTACAGAGTTCCTTCAGATGATTCTACTATGCAGCCAGGTTAAAAACCAATGAAGTAAAGCAAATGATTTATTTAAAGCAGACATAATGAGGTGGGTGACTAATATAATCTTGTCCATTTTGTAGCTTTCTAGAGGCAGGTGTCCCTGCTACACATTTTCTGTGCCCACAACTGCTGCTCTTCTTTCATCTGGAACATTTCCATGTGCCCTCTCTTGATTGCTGGGCATGTTAGGGAAAATGTCACAATGAAGAAACATTCCCTCTGTGTTACTTCTCATAAAATTTGAGTGAGACAAGGAGGTGGAAAAGTGAGAATTGAACCGCAGACTGAAATAAAAATTTGCATCAATTTTAAGATTTCATTGCAGAATAAAATACTACATTCTTTTATTAGTCTAGCTCCTTAATGTTTTGCTGTATAAATGAATTATGATTACCATTTATGAATGTAAGCACAGTAAAAGTATTTTAACACTGAAACATCCATAAAGGAATTTGTGAAATAGTGTTTGCTGATAAAGTTTTCTACCACAGAACTTTTGGTTTATTAACAGCTTAATTATTTCTTTAAATTTATTTATGTACCTTTTGTAAATGTGTGCTTTTAACAGCAGAAACCTCAAACACAGATTTTGACAACATTGTGGATCCTGATGTGTATTCTCCTGACATTGAAAAAATTGAGGAAAGCACCTTCTTCAAAAGAAGTTTAAAAGAGAAAAGTATAGGTTTAGAAAGTAATCAAAAGTCTTATGAATCCTGCATGTCATATGAGAGCAAAGATACTTTGCCAAGTATAGGTTTAGAAAAACTTCCCATTGAGGAGAAATTATCTCAAGACACCAAAGAATCCTTGGAATTCAGCAATCTGCATAAGAGGCCAAGCTTTGAAGATTCTAAAACTGCAAAGTCATCACTGGTAAATCTATTATGTTTATTATATTAAAATTTTATAAGAAACCTCATAAAATGTCTTAGTGACACAATACATTCTCAAGTTACTTCCTATTAAAGTTAAAATGTGCTACTTTATATTATTATGAGGTAGTTGAAGAGTGACTCATATGGGAGAGAACATTAATGATTTCTAGGACTAATTCTAATATGAGAAATGCCATTTTAATAAATGGCTTTCTGTGATAAATAATACTTTAAGGCCCACCTTATGCACCATAGTAAGAGCACTGTAACTTTTCCAAATGAAATTCATTATGAATAATACTGTGTAATAAATCCTTTCTAGCTTTTGATGATAGTATAGTCAGTGGTCAAAATGAAATAAATGCAAATATCTAGACAGAACCAGTTACTATTGTTTAATATAAGTATAAGATGAAGAAAGTAATTATTTCAGGATGACGGCTAATAAAGTAATAGAGGTGTAGTTTTTGTCTCTTCTCATAGGAAAGGTTAAGTAGCTCATCATTGCATTGGTACCAAATTTTAAAACTATATTTGAAATCCATTCTATATGCTAGAAATCTTATTAATTATAATTATTAATAATCCATTCTTTGAAAATTAAGTGAGGCAAACATTTTTAACAACCCTCAAAAGTCATTTAAAATGAACTCCCATGGCTCCTGAACTGAAGAGGGAAGCAAAAAAGCAAAAGGATGAATACTTGAGCTGCTAATACTTCTGCTGGGAGGATTGGCTTTTTGTGCCTACTTATGACAGATGTTGTGCCTTTGTGAGATAAGAAATGGAAACTGATGCCTCTGCAAAAACTTAGACCTTTAAATGTCTGATCAGTCACTTAAGGAATGCACTAGGAAAATACCCATGGGTGCTAAAAACAAGAAAGGAAACTGATCTCTGCAAGTGATCTGGGCTAGGCCAATAAAACATCTCACCTGAAAAAGGTATCTTGGGCTTTCATTTAGCGTAGAGTTGGATACACGTACCCAAATATCTATTTGCATATATACTTCTTGCTTGGAAACTTCAAGCCAAAACAGTATCTTTATTGTTAATCCATGCCTATTAATACCCTGATGTAGCTGACAGAAGTGAATCCTAATACTTTATAAAAGGACATCCTTACCACTTATCCCTCAAGAGATTCCACAAAATACAGCTCTACTTCAGATGGGCTTATCTTCTTAATCCCCCAGTGAAGAAAACAATTGATCATAGCATGAATTTCAGCAGAGAAAACAAGAACTTCAATTTCCAGATTTCCACAGGGCAGCATGAAGAGTCCTAGGTGACATCTATATATGCAGTGAGCTGTGTAATAAGTGAGGAATCCTGATCTTAAGAAACTTGATGTTTTACACTGGGCAGTAAGCCTGCCAGACTTCTGTCCTAGAGGAAGACTATCTTTATTACACTGGACAGTAAACAAACTTGCTCTTTGCTCTACAGAGATACTCAATCTCTATCCTGTGAGATTATATTTAAAATGTTTAAAAATAGAAAGGAAGAAATAATAAGAACTTAATAAGATAGTAGGAACTGCTCCATTTATGAAGACCAATAAAAAGTTCTAACATTCAAAATATATGTATTGAAATTATAATGAAATGGATACTAAATAGAATGTTAAATACAAATAAGGAGAGATTTATTACCCTAGATTAAAAGTTTTTAAAATTGCTTGTCTTGCAGCAAAGATATATGAAGAGTTGGTAATATGCCAGATTGTGAAGTAACAAAGCACAATTTCTGAGCAATATAAATAAAAAGAAATCCACACTATGGCTTATTATTTAGATGATCTTAAAATGTTATAATCTTAAAAGAAATGAAAGACAATAGAAAATTATCTCCAAAGAACAGTTACTAGATTGACAGTAAAATTCTCATGAACAGCAACAGCTAGCCTCAACAGTGGAACACAGTGGAACATTAGCTTTAAAGTTCTAATAGAACTGACTAAGTCTAGAGTTCTAAGGCTTGCAAAACTGTCATTCAAGACCAAGAATAAAATACTGTCAAGTTTAGACAAAAGTTCAGGTAATTTACTTATTTCCTCTCTTGAAAGAACATCTGAATGATATACTTCGAAAAGAAAGAAATCAAACCCAGAAGAAGTAGGATGCAAAAAAACAATGGTGTGAGGGAAAAATGACAAATATATTAGATGTATTCCAGAATGATTATTATAATGCCAAATCTGAGAGTTATAAAAGAAGGAATTTCAATGGGAATCACATGTACCATAACTTGTAAGACTGTTAGGTAGGATGATTAGAGTTAAAAGTACTAAGATTCTGTATTGTAAAGAAAGGTAGTTATCATTGTAGGGATAATTGACTAAGTCTAGTGTTTTAGTCAATTATAGATGTTAAATACTTAGAGTAACAGTTAAAATATTGCAGATATAATGTATATAATCCAAAATACGAAAGGAAAAGGGGAGTATGGAAAACCCAATTAACTGAAATGGTCAGGAAATAAATGCATCGCAGGAAAATTGTGTGGTTGGTGTTGGGTGTGCAATACCTCTAATACCTCTTGGGTCTCTCACATTTTCTTGCACATCTTTTGAGCAAAAGCACTGACTGTATTTGTTCCAAAGTATATTTCAAGGGTTCTTGTATAGAAAACAGCTTTGAAAGACAGAGATTGTGAATATCTTCATAGCAAAGAGTAGGTTTGTTTACTGTCTGGTGTAATAAAAATACACAAAGACTCAAAACAAAGGGGTAGAGAAAGATTTACCAACCAAATGGAGAGCAAAAATAAATAAATTAATAAATAAAAAGCAGGAGTTGTAATTCTCGTATCGGATAAAATAGATTTTAAAGCAACAAAGATATAGTGGTAAAAGGATCAATGTAACAACAAGAGCTAACAATCCTAACACCCAGATACATAGAGACTTAGATTCAATGAGACAGAAAATTAATAAGGATATCAAGGACTCAAAGTCAGATCCGGAACAAGTAAACTTAGTAAATATTTATAGAGCTCTCCACCCCCAAATACACAAAATATACATTCTTGTCAATACCACATCATACCTACTCATAGGTTTAAATGAAACATTGATTGGCCATTATTAATACCAATTTTTTTTCAGAATAAAGCAATATTTCCGTTCTTCATTCTTCCTCTTTCTCTTCCTCTTTCTCCCTCTCCTTTACTCATTTTTTAGTTTCCTTCTCTCAAAAAAAATAAAAAATAAAAATAAAAAAGAAATCAACTTGTAAACCTCTAGATCCAGGTCGACAATGTCTCTCTCATTGCTTGATTTCCTTCCTTCCCTTCCCTCCCTCCCTCCTTCCCTCCCCCCTTCCTCCCATCCTTCCTTCCTTCATCTCTTCCTTCCTCCCTCCCTTCCTCCTTCCCTCCCTTCCTGCCTTCCTCCCTTCCTCCCAAAAAAAAAAAAAAATGTTTTCCTCTATGGCAAAGGTCAGGCAGGCTTACTGCCCAGTGTTAAAGCACTGGATTTCCTAAGGTCAGGATTTCTCTCCTGTAACACAGCTCAGTGTATGTGCAGATGTCATATGGCTTTCTTCATGATGTCCTGTGAAAATTGGGTTCTGGGAATTGGTACAAATGATGATACTCTGGCAACTGCTATTGTTGAGAGTGATAAAGTCCTTTGACTATGACCAAGGAGTCTTGTGTCTTCTTCCAGCATCCATGAAACTATAACAGGCTTGCAAGTAGGGTAAAATCTCAGATGCTTCACAGTTCTTGTCAGCAGGTAGAAAGAATAAAGCTGACAGGAGTAAATCCAATCATATAAGTAATTAGAATAAATGTGGACTGTGTGTGTGTGTGGTTATTTTACTAGAAACCTACTTAAAACATAGGGTAGGGGGAAGAATTTCAGCATAAAGCAAGCACTAATTTAAAAAGATAAAACTTTAAGGTAATAAACCATCTTCAGGACAAAGGGTGCCATTATATAGTCAGTGAAATCAATTATTTAATAGGAAGATTAAAACCAAATCTGAATTTGTATGTACCTACCAATATAGCCTCAGATATACTGTAGCAAAAATGGACAAACCTACATGGTATTATTGACAGATCCATCAACCCAATAAGATTTTCTATTAATAAAGGTAGAGAAGATTTGATCAATACAAATAAGCTTAAAGAACATATTTTTGAATCACATAGTCAATAATTAAAGAATGTGTGTTTTTTACAAGAACACATGGAACTTTTACAAAATACATATTACAGTGCATTACAAGAATAAGTCCACAAAGGAGTTTTCAAAAAGTGGTAAAGAAATCATATTATATACTGTTTTCCAACCATAATATAATAAATTTAAAATTGATAGCAAAATGCTAACAAAATTAAATACAACTCAAATATGTCTAGGTTAAAGAAAAACTCAGAATAGAAGGTAGAAATATTTAGAATTGAATGTAAGCAAAACCATCACAGATAAATAATGTATAGGATAAAATTCAAATACTACTTACTGGGAAATGTATAATCCCAAATGCAAGAAAAAAGTAAAAATTAATGAACTATGAATCTGACCCAAAAATAATACAGCAATAATAAACTCAAAGGAATTCACTGGGAAAACTTTTTCCTGCCATTCTCTTCAATTGAGTAGGAGAGGATAAGGTAACATATATTACCCTCAGGCCTTGCCTGAAGATTTATCCAATGGATTCATCCAATCCATTTTCTCAGGGAACTTTTCGTTTAGGTAGATAGTCTGATGATTTGTACCCCATCCAACTTCCTGGTCTACTATGAACTGATAAGAGTTTATCAAGATAGCTGTGACTTAAATAGCACCAATAATTTATAGCAGGGTTTCTTCTTTTATGTGGTAATACATACTATCCTATTCAATTAATATAACAAGGGTCACTAAATTTAGATTTTTATTAAAAGGAAGGTTTGTGACATAGAGAGGGGAACAGCATACTCTGGAGCTCATCAGAAGGTGGTGAGTGGGAAGAGAGAGAGGATTAGAAAAAATAAATAGTGGGTACTAGGCTTAATACCTGGGTGATGAAATAATCTGTACAAGAAATCTCCATGACACAAATTTACCTATGTAACAGACTTGTACATGTAGCTCTGAACTTAAAAAAAAAGGAATGTGTATGTGGCTGGGATACATTCTTGTTTATTCAATTTAAGACTATCAATTTGCTTAGTATAAAATATAGCTCAGTATAAAATATGTCCCGATAGAGCTTGTTCAGGAAACAATCTGAATGAGTATTTAAGTGCATAAGATTCATAAAGTTCTCAGCAGCTCCAACCTGCTGACATAAACTAAGGCCAGTGACTGTTGTCACTGGCTTACATGGTTATTATTTTTTTCAATTAGGTGAGATTAAGTGTAGTCCTGGACAGTAATAAAAAAGTGGTATGTAAGCCTGCTGTTTCCTCATAGGGGATACTGGATTGAGAGATTTGAAGTTTTTTCAGGAAGAGTGTCACAGGATTTTAAAAGAAACTAATGGGTTTCTAACTCAAGGATTGCCCCTTTTATACATGAAGAATATTTTAATCCATTCCTAGGTTATTATATCTGAGGAATAAAAAAGCGTAAATAGTTGAACAGAAACTGTCCACACTGGCAAGATAGGACTTAAGCTGAGTGTCAAAGATTCTCCCCCAGCGTCTTATTACAGAAGATGGCTAATCTCTGTAAAGAATTTAGTTCTGGGTAGCAAGAGTATTTGAAGAGTTGCAAAACAAAAGGTGAAAGCAGGTGGAGGGGAGCTATAAAATAGAACTTTGTAAAGTGGCCATCGGAATTGGTAGTTCACAGGTTGCAGACTCAGTTCCTGCTTTTGAATACAATGGTTGAATCTACTTTCTTTTCATTCCTAAGAACTATACCTGAACCTACTTTTACTCTTTTTCTGTCCTAGCAAAAGCCATTATATCAGAAGAAACTACTTAGAAATCTATTGTGCTCCATCCAAATAGAATATAAAATTGTTCATTTTGTACTGTAGTTTTCAGAAATTGATTTCTGTATAAGGTGGAACTTCCTATGGAATTTAGTGCTAATGTGTAGGGCAGTAGTTAGGAAAACAAGGGACCAATCGGGGGTCCTTTGTTCTGGCTCTAAAACTGTCAATAGTTAACTTTGTAAATTTGTGCGAAAAGTAGACAAAACAAAACTATTTTAGGATTTTTATCTATAAACCAAGACATTCAAAAACTCTTCCAAATTTGCAATTGCATAATTCAAGTATAAGCTTCACTAGAGTGGAAATACTCTGTTATTGTTTATCAGTGTCTGGGAGGGAATATGTGCTGGAAATTTTGGACATATATTTGTCTTTGAATGACATGCTTTATTGGTCACTAGCTTTGTTCTTTAATACGCTCTCATTTATATGCTTTATAAGTTTATATATAATTAAAGCAATTTGCTTTACATTGATTTCTTGGAACAGACCAGATCTGGACATTAATTACATTCATTAGGGAATTGTTAAAAACTGATAGCTGCTCTGATTATACTATAACCTCATCTAGAGCTCTTACTTATGAATTCCTAATCTGTTTCTACTGGATTCACATTTTTAAAAATCCCAGTTGTAGTCAATCCTAGAATAAGAACATGTACAATGAATTAATAGAATTAATAAAGTGGCAGGATAAGTCTAGGTTTCAAATCAGGCAGACCTATATTCAAAGCCTAGGTCTGCTAGTTTCTAGCTATATAAACTTTATAAATTAGTTATCTTCCTCTCACCTCAGTTTCCTGCTTGTATATTTGCCTCATGATGAATATTTTGTTAACTAAGATCTTTTTCTATGACCATTGTCAGGTCAGATATTTCCCATTGGTATTTTACTTTCAACTTTGAAATTATTTTATATACAGACAAAGACACTAAAAGTCACAGCACGTGAAAGTAGGTCTATATTCGAGTATAATTTATGTGCAACAGGATTGAGGAATGAAACTACAGGAAGAAAAAGAAAAAAAATTATTTCATGAACTTCTGTCCTCCTCGGATTAATATCAACTTTCAGAGAATTACTATAATTGTAATTAGAACTTACTATATATAAATGTTATATTATTATTTGTCTCCACTGTTAGAAACTAAAATTGATAAAGGAAGAATTTGTGCCAAGTATATAGTAGGTATCTGATAAATGAATATGCTTTTTTGTATTAATGAGGTAGAAAATAAACAATACTGTTGAATATTTTTTTCTTAGTTGTTACAAGAAATAGCCTGTAAAAGTAAGCCTATAACAACGCATTATCAAGGACTTGAGAGATTCTTTATTTTTGATACAAATGAAAGACTCAACTTACTTCCTTCTCAACGTTTAGAATGCGACTATTCCAGTACTAGGATTCCACTTGCAGGTAAATTGCTAACTCATTTTTCTAAAACAGTCTGTCCTGATCTTAGGAAACACTGGGCAATTCTGTTTAATGGATAAAATAATTTTCTTCTTGCCATTCAAAAATTATTAACCTTGTATGAGTTGCCATATATTTACATTTAAGATTGCTGTCAGAATGTGAGAAAATATGACTTATAATGAAACTAGGAAAGATTATTTTTAGAATTTAGCAGTGTGGTTGTTTTAGACCTTTTAGTGTTGCTGTAAAGGAATAACCAAGGCTAGATAATTTATAAATAAAAGAGGTTTATTTGACTCAGAGTTCTGCATATAACAAGTATGGTGCCAGCATCTACTTGGCGCTTTGCATTACTGTCAATAGGGCACAAAAGTTCCGATTATTACACGTTCTTGACAATACTTGTTTTTTTCTTTTTTTAAAGGGAAGGACAATAGTTATCCTCATGGTTCTGAGGTGGTATATTATTGTAGCTTATATTTTCATAATTATTAATAATGTTGAGCATTTTTATGTGCTTATGTCACTTGTATATACTCTTCGGAGAAATGTCTATTCAATTCCTTAGCTCATATTTTAATTGGTTTATTTGTTTTTTTTTGTCATTGAGTTGTAGAAGTTCCTTATTATATTCTGGATACTACTTCTTCATAAGATATATTATTTGCAATTATTTACTCCCATTCTGTGGACTGCCTTTTTACTCTGTTGCTTATCCAATTTTTTCAAGTTTTATGAAGTCCAATTTGTCTATTTTTGTGGTTACTGTTTCCTGTGCCTTCAGTGTCATTTTTAGAATTCATTTCCAAAGCCAAAGTCATGGCCGTGTACTTTCTTCTAAGGTATTTGTAGTTTTAGGTTTTACATTTAGGTCTTTGATCACTTTTGAGTTTATTTTTGTACATGGTATTAAAAGTCCAGATTCATTATTTTGCATATGGATATCAAGTTTTCCAGCATCATTTGTTAAAAAGACCATTCTTTTACCCATTGAATGGACTAGGTAGCGTTGTCAAAAATTATTTGGCCAAGAGAGGAGATTTTAAGTGTTCTCACCACACACACACAAACACACACACACACGCACACACACACATAAATGATTGGTGAGATAAGACATATGTTAATTAACTTGATTTAGCCATTCTACAATATATGCATATTTCAAATTATGTTTTATACCATAAGTATATAGTCTTTTTCTCAAATCATTATAATTTGACCATATATATGAGTATTTATTTCTGGGTTGTTTATCCCATTTCATTGGTCTGTATGTTTGTCTTTGTACCAATATCACACTGTTTTAATTACAGTATCTTTGTTATAAGTTTTGAAATCAGAAAATATGAGTCTTCCTGCTTTGCTCTTGCTTTCAATATTGTTTTGGCTATTCAGGGTCCCTTGTGATTGCATGCAAATTTTAGAACGTTTTTTTAAAAATTTCTACCAAAAAATGTAATTGAGCTTTTGATAGAGATTATATTGAACCTGTAGATCACTTTGGGTAACATTGGCATCTTAGCACTATTGACTCTTCCAGTTCATGAATATGAGATATATTTCTGTTTATATATGTCTTCATTAGTTTCTTTCAGCAATGTTTTATAGTTTTCATTGCACAAGTCTTTCACCTCCTTGGTTATGTTGATTTCTAAGTATTTGTTTCTTTTTGATGCTATTGTAAATGGAATTGTTTCCTTTTTCAGACTGTTCGTTATTAGTATATAGAAATACAATTGGTATTTGCCTATCGAATTTGTATCCTGCTACTTCACTAATGCCATTTATTCTAACAGATTTTTTGTGTGGAATCCTTAGTGTTTTCTACATATAAGATTGTATCATCTGTGAACAAAGATAATTTTACTTCTTCTTTTGTAATTCAAATGTATTTTGTTTCTTTTTCTTGTCTCTTCTGGCTGCTTATATAGAATAGAAGTAGCAAAAACGGACATCTTGCCTTGCTCTAGATTTTAGATATTGTTCTGTTTTTTACCATTGAGCTTGATGTTTGCTGTGGTTTATTAATATACTTTTATTATGTAGAGGCATTTTCCTTTTATTCGTAGTTTGTTGGGAGTTCTTATCATAATAGTGTGTTGGATTTTGTCAAAAGATTTTTCTGTGTAAATTGAGATGATCATGTTTTTTATTTTCTTTCATTCTGTAAATGTGGTTTATTACACTGAGGAATTTTCATATGCTGAACCATCCTTACGTTTCAGAAATAAATTTTATTTGATTATGACATATAATTCTTTTTAATATGCTGGAGAATGTGGTTTGCTAGTACTTTGAAGTTTTTACATCACTGATTATAGATGATATTGTTCTGTTGTTTTCTTTAATTGTAGTGTCTTTATTTGGCTTTAGTATCAGTGTAGGTCTAGATTCACAGATTGAGTTGATGTACCTCCTCTTTAACTTTTTGGAAAAGTTTGAGGACTGGTGTTATTTCTTCAAATGTGTGATAGAACTCACCAGTGATGCAATTAGGCCCAGGACTTCTTATTACTGGGAAATTTTTGATTACAGATTTAGTCTCCTTACTTTATATGTATATTCCAATTTTTTTCTTTCTTCCTGATTTTCTGGTTTCCATTTTGAAAGCTAGATCTTGGTGTCATCTATATTCTTAGTCATCCTATGTATTCAAATGTGTTTATTCACGTAGAAACAATTATACTTTATGTTGTATGGTTATATACTTTAAAAAATTTTTAAATTAAAATAATTTATAGATTTTTATTTTGTAATAAGATTTTGTATTTCCTAATATATATCATTGTTATAAATATTCTTTATTCTGTTAAATATTATCTATTAAGACATAAATATAAAACTAATAAAATTAATTTTTTTCTTTTTAAACTTCATATTATATTATAATTTTTCAATTTCAGAAGACAGAGAATGGATTCCAGACCATAGTTTAAGTGAACATGCTGATAATTCAGTTGTCTTCGGTGTTCTGCAGGGTGCTCAGAATCCATCATCAAGTAGAAAACAGCCAAAGATGGGTAACAGTGACTCAAAGGCAGCAGTGCCATGTTGGCAGCTTACTACCTTTAGCAGTTTGCTTTTTTAGCAGTTTAGTAGACACCTGAAATTTAGTTTTTGAAGTTCTATAATTTAAATTCATTCATTTTAACTAAATGACCTTGACTTTTCTTCTAAAACCCGAGCACAAAAACAAATGTGCTCATTTTTACGAAGTCATGGATTATAGTCTTATATTTTCCATAACAATGTATTCAAGAATAATATTTGCAAGATGTAGTTAAGGATATGGCATATTTTAAACAATCCTTATAAAATACATACTCAGTTTTATTACTCACTCGGGAAGCAGTATGTTTATGCCAGATTTTGCATACTCTTTCACTTGGTGTATATTATGATCAGACAGAGCCATATGTGAAATGTCCTTGAGAAAGTGGACTATTTGCCATCGTTTAAAGGCTATCTTCAGGGCAGAAATTTAATTGCATATGTTTTGTCTCTATATTTAAGACACAAGTCTCTCTTGCCCTAAAATCTATGATTAAAACTCTCTGGCTAGATCCTTTTCATATGCATTTATGTTGAGAATCTGTCAGATATAAAAATTTTTTTAATTTTAATTTTTATTCTCTATTGCTCAAGAGCTTAGAGTCCAGTGTAAAGTTTCTTAAAAGTCAGTGTTGGCATGATCACCAGGGAAATTTCTTGGAATGCAGATTTCTGGATCTAACTTTTAGGGATTCTGATTAATTAAGGCTGAGGTAATGCCTAGGAAATTGCATTTATCTTTTCAACAACAACTTCCTGTTATGCTAATATAGATAGTCCAAATACCATATTTTAAGAAAAGTGCTATAAATTTATATATATATATACTATATATATATATATAGTATATATATATAGTATATATATAGTATATATATATATAGTATATATATATAGTATATATATAGTATATATATATAGTATATATATATATAGTATATATATATAGTATATATATATATAGTATATATATATGTGTGTATATATATATATATATATATATATAGTATATGTGAATATGTAAATTATGCCACATAAAAGTTTTATGAAAAAGCCTATGAGTAATTTTGGACATCAATAGGTAATTAATGGTAATATGTAGTATTAACTATAATAGTTAGATATATAAGCAGAGTTTTTAAGAAATAGGGATGAGAAAATAATGACTTTGCTATTGAAAAGTGTAGATTGGCAAGATATTAGAAACGAGGTAACATTCAGTTGAGTCTTTAAACAGTTACAATGTTTACCAGCCACAGAAGTTAGGAAATGGCTTTATGAACAGAGATAGTGGCCTAAAATAAACTAAAAATATTCTGGCTCTGTCACAAGTTATAGAAATCTTGTGTTCTGCACTGATGCCAATATATAAAGGAATTTCCGTTTCCATAAAATTTTAAAAGTCGTGAATGTAAAAACATGGTAGCTATATGTGTTTAGCAGCAAGTTCATTCATTCTTTCCATCCCTGCCATAATTTAGTCCTCCCCACACCATCTTCATCTTTCTGTATATGGCAACTCTATCCAAACATTGATTAAGTCTGAAATTTGGGAGTCATCTTGCCTCTCACTCAGTGCATCCTAATTATCTTTAGATTCTGCTGATTTCAGCTCTAAAACAGAGCTCAACTCTAACCACTTTCACTTTCACTCTTCAAGATTAGCCCAAGCCATTTGTCTGTCATCTCTCATTTGTCTCCAGTTTTCACTTTACCTATCCCCAAACCATGTTGCTATAATTAATTTCCATTATATTCTACTATTTATAAGTGAGTGAATTGTTTATACTCCTAACAGTATTGACATTTATAGTTTCTAGGGAGTGAATCATACTTTCCATAAATGTAAACCGTATGTTATATCATGCCATTCTATTGCCTAAAGCATTCCATAGATTCCTGTAGAAAATAGAAAAAGGTATGCCTTACCATGTATCTCACAGCAACACCTCGGTTGGCTACCCATCTCTCCTAACTGCATCTTCTCCTACACTTTAGCCACCGTTGCTTTCTTTCTGTTCTCAGGCCACTCTGTTACTCCAAAAGTAACTTATGTTTTTAATCTACAAACTTGGATTTTTTTTAAATTGTAGAATGATCCCCTCAATTGCAGCATTTTTAATTAGGGCCAGTCTTAATGTTGTATTATATCTTAAACTGAATAGCAACATTAAACATTAGAAAGAATGATATATTGACTTAAAAGAACAATAAACAAAATCAAGAACCAAATTGGGGCCTGTTCTATTTCTGTGTTTTGGTTACTTTAAATTACACTTTGAGCAAGAAAGATGGTCTGTTTCTTTGCTGTGTGTTGAGCATAAGACCGACCTGTCCTTTGTGTACTTTTTCTCAATTGGGATCAATTACCTTTAAATACTGTGGCAATCAAATGTTCTTATAGGTGTTTGTACTATTCCAGATTTTCTGAAGGGCATCTACATTATATTATTATTTTTTCTTTATTTCTGTGAATTGGCAGAAGTCCAGTCCTTACTCATAGCATTTTCCTTTGGTTTGTTTCTGAAAGTAAGAGTTCTAAATTTCTTTAAATTTTACCTTGACCGAGATATACCATAATACAGATACTAAAGTGTGGTTTACCACATAGAGTAGAACTTTTGGTTTATATTGTGAATTATTGTTACAGTCAATGACTTATATAGCTACTGTTACTACCCCTACTCTTGTTTCCTTATGTAGACATGGCAAGTGTGGTTCTTGATTGCTATAAATATGATTATTTACATATTATAGGTAAAAGAGGATATCATGTCACTTTTAGTCATCAAAATAATTCTCAGGGATATGTATATATTCTTAATACATAGGAATATTTTAACCTGTTATTTTTCTCTGAGCACAAATAGACACAAAAATCAGTTTTATTTTAACTTACTAATAATTTAATTTCAAGAAAAATTATTTTAAAAATTGATTTCTGAAATTTTAATTCAAGTTGGTACCCTTTGAGACTTACCTTGGTCAGTTTTAATTGCTTAAATAATTACATAATGTATTTAGAGTTTTCTTGGGGTATTAGACATATTCAAAGTAGATTTTTTTAAGTTAAAGACAAACTCAGTGGTCATTAAATGTTTAATACATCATGACTTTCTGTAGTTACTTACTTGAATTTTATATCTCTCATTGAATCACTAGAGTGAGAATAATGTTATATAGCATAGGTTCCATCAAATCAGGATTTTAACGATAATGACAATTGCACATTGACTCACCTAATGATTTTATACACAGCCAGTTTGTTGTAAGGAAGTGAAAATTTATCTTATGTTTACTATAAATATATTTATCTAAATCAGAACAATGATTTAGTACATTGAAGCATTCACCTGCCCTAAGAATTTTTAAATATGTACCTTGAAAATTCTCTTGGTCTTATTAAGTAATATTTTGTGAGAAATACCAAATTGTAAATGAGTTATGTTATGTTATTGTAAAATTTGAAGAGTTTTTTTTTCTTACTTTGAAAGAAACAAACATGTTGAAGAAAGCAACTAAATTGACTTTCAAAATAGATCAAACCAAAGTAGTGACTGTCCTAGTGGAACAGTGTAATAACCTGACATAGATCGGTGCTTCTGGAACTTTCCACAAGATAGTGAGCTCATCCTTAGGAAAATCAGAGATGTGATCTCAATTCTTAAAGCTTGTGCTTTTCTAAAAATTCATATATATTTTGTAAATTAGTTTCTTTTTTGACATATTTTTAAATGTAAGAATATATTACATATCATTAAGTAAAACTTAATGTTTATTCTAAATTTTTTTTTTTCTTACATAGTATAGTATGGAATTTAAGACACATGTCTTGGTGCTTGGCTTTGGAATACATTATAAAATTGTATGTTGTTTCCGTTTGAAGTGGACTTAGTTTACAGATATTTTCATTTGTGAATATTAAAATTAATTTATTTTTCTCTGAATGTAGGAAAATTTGGGAAAAAAACTGCAGAATTATTCTATATGACATTGGAAAAGTAATTTGAGATTAATAAAATGTGGTTAGCTGGAAAGGGTGATAGTCAAAGTTAATTTTTTCGTAAACTGTTACATGAACTTAACTTCTCTGTGAGCAGGGGCCTGGCATTTTGTATCTTTAAGTACTCATTCAAGTTTTTAAAATTTGATTTTAAAAGTTTTTACTTTTAATTTTAGGTAAGAAATCACGGAGACCTTCAACAGCAAAGTTTCCACTTTCTAACTCTGTTAAAGAAAACTCCAGCTGCCTTTCATCCTCGCGTCCTCGATCCACAAGTGCAGCTTCTCAATCTTTATCTAGATCTGCTTCTGAAATTTCAGAAATTGAACGTATTGATATTACTGACCAGAATGAGCTTTTCTTAGATGATATTGCTGATCAATATACCTTAGACAGTTTGGAAAAAGAATTACAAGTGCTGAGATCTCTTGCAGGTAATGCTGTATTTTTCACTTTAGGTAATACTAATTAACTCTGCCCTCAGCCTGATTCTTCATATCTTCCTCTAACAAAACGAGCAAGCAAATGATAAAGCTTTCCCTTTCCTTCTTTAATCATCAACCATTGTGTCTGTTTTCCTTAAACCCCCTGATGTCACTCTGAATATGTTTAAAAGTGTGTAGATGCCCAGCCACACCAAGGATGGCCCCTTAGGCTGTAATACACAGCTAGATTCTAAAGTGAAGGATTTCATGTGCACAGAAAAAAATCTTTTTTCTCCTTTCTGCAAATCCACTATAGGATTAATCTCTGTAGCTATATGAAAGTCACTGTTCAATATCCTCATTGGAAAATGGAGCCCTTAGATGTTTAAAGGCGTGGTTTTCAAACTTAAATGTATATACAGATCTTTCAGGGAATCTTGTTACAATGCAAATTTTTTAATTAAGTCAGGTAAGGTGACATTCTGCATATCTAACAAGTACCCAGGTGATGTCAGTGCTGCTAGTTGGCAGATCATACCATGAGAAATTATCCTTGTGCATTTTATTTCCAACTTCAGTGGACATAGTCTAGCAATATAGTGACCATATTCTTGAACATGCAAAGGTCTGGCTCAGTAGCAAAACATCAGGGGAATTAATCGTTTTATTTGCACCATAAAGTCATTCACACAGTTTGAAAGAAGCCAGCTGCAGATCCAGGAGACAGGCAAGAAAATTCTTTGGTTACATATATTCCACACTTGCTCTTCCCTTGTTTTTCCTATTAGTGGTATCCTCCTTTATTGACCTTAGAATTTTGAAAAATTAAAGAAATAAAAATAATACAAAAAAAAGAAATAAAACCCCACCACAAAATCTAACAACGTTTCAAGACAAAAACTGTAAGAAGAAGGTCATTATATAATGATAAAGGGGTCAATTCAGCAGGAGGATATCATGGTGATATATATATATATATACCAACACTAGAGTAACCAGATATATAAAGCAAATAATATTAGGACTAAAGAGAGAGAGAGAGAGACCTTGATGTAATAATAGCTGGAGACTTCAACACACAACTTTCAGCATTGGACAGACCTCCAAGACTGAAAATCAACAAAGAAACATCACACTTAATCTGCACTGTAGAACCACTGGACCTAATAGATATTTACAGAACATTTCATCCAAGAGCTACAGAATACACATTCTTTTCCTGAGCACATGGATCATTTTCAAAGAGAGACCAAATGAAGTTGGGTTCAAAACAAGTCATTAAACATCAAAAAATTGGAAATAATATCAAGACTTTTCTCTGACCACACAGAAATAAAACTATAAATCAGTAACAAGAGAAATTTTGGAAAACACATGTAAATTAAACTATATGCTCCTGAGTGACCAGTGTATCAATGCAGAAATTAAGAAGGAAATTGAAAATTTCTTGAAACAAATGATAATGGAGACACTATATACCAAAACCTATAGGATACAGTGAAAGCAATAAGAAGAGAGTTGTGGGAATAAGCACCTACATTAAAAACAAAAATAACAACAACAAAAGAAAAACAGAAAACTTCAAATAAATAAAACCTGTATCTTGAAGAACTAAAGGCCACTCATGGCAGCTCATGCCTGTAATTTCAGCACTTTGGGTGCCAAGCCAGGTGGATCACCTGAGGTCAGAATTTCAAGACCAGTCTGGGCAACATGGTGAAATCCTGTCTCTAGTATAAATAAAAAATTAGCTGGGCATGGTGACACATGCTTGTAATCCCAGCTACTTGGGATGCTGAGGCAGGAGAATCGCTTGATCCCGGGAGGCAGAGGTTTCAGTGAACTGAGATTGTACCATTGCACTCCAGCCTGGGTGACAGAGCGAGAATCTGTCTCAGAAAAAAAAAAAAAAAAGATCATTTATCATGATCAAGTGGGATTTATCCCATCGATGCGAGGATGATTCAACATATGTAAATCAATCAATGTGATACATCATATCAACAGAATGAAGGACAATAACTATATAATCATTTCAATTGATGCTGAAAAAGCATTTGATAAAGTTAACATTCCTTCATGATAAAAATCTTCAAAAAACTGGGAGTCGAAGGCCTTAACATAATAAAAGCTGTCTATGACACACCCACAGCTAGTACTGAACTGAATGGGGAAAACCTAAAAGCTGGTCCTCTTAAATCTGGAACATGAAAAGGATGCCTGCTTTCACCACTGTTAATCAACATAGGACTGTATGTCTTAGAGCAATTAGAAAAGCTAAAGAAGTAAAAGGCATCCAAATTGGAAAGAAATAAATTATCCTTGTTTGTAAGGATAATCCTCATTTTGGATAATATGATGTTAAATTTAGAAAATCTAAAGACCACCAAAATACTATTAGAACTGATAAACAAATTCAGTAAAGTTGCAGGATACAAAATCAACATACGAAAATCACTAACATTACTGTATGCCAACAGTGAAACATCTGAAAAAGAAATGAAAAACTAATTTCATTTATCATAGCCACAAATGAAACTTTCATGCAAAAGACAGGCAGTAAAGCATGCTGGCAAGGATGTGGAGAAAAGAGAACCCTTGTACACTGTTGGTGGGAATGTTAGTTAGTTCAGCCACTATGGAGAACAGTTTGGAGGTAATTAAAAATGAAGCTACAATACAAACCAGCTATCCTACCTCTGTGTATAAACCCAAAAGAAAGGAAGTCAGTATATTGAAGAGATATCTGCACTTGTAAGTTTGTTGCAGTACTGTTTACAATAGCTAAGATTCAGAAGCAACCTAAGGGTCCATCAACAGAAGAATGAAAAAGGAAATGTGCTATGTATACACAATGGAGTATCATTGAGCCATAAAAGAGAATGAGATCCAGTCATTTGTAGCAACTTGGTTGGAGCTGGAGATCTTTACATTATGTTAAATAAGCCAGGGACAGAAAGACAAATATAGCATGTTCTTGCTTATTTGTGGTATTTTGAGATAGAGAATAGAAGGATAATTACTGGAGGCTGGAAAAGGTAGTGGGGTGGAGGTGGGATGGTTAATGAGTCCAAAAAATAGTGAGAAATAATAAATAAGGCCTACCATTTGCTAGCACAACAGTGATACTACAGTCAATAATAACTTTAATTGTACATTTTAAAATAAAGAGTGTTATTGAATTATTTATAACTCAAAGGATAAATGCTTGAAGAGATGGCTACTCCATTTTCCATGATGTGCTTATTTCACATTGCATGTCTATATCAAAACAGCTCATGTACCCCATAAATATATACGCCTACTATATAATCACAAAAATTGTAAAAAGGAAAAAAGAAATAAGTATATACAAGAGATACCTGCCCTCTTAGGTTTGTTACAGCACTGTTCACAATAGCCAAGATTTGGATGTAACCTAGGTATTCATTAACAAATTAACAAAGACCATATGGTACTTTTTAGTACACTAAAAAGTGTACTAAATACAATGAAGTACTATTTAGCCATAAAAAAGAATGAGATTCTGTCATGTATAACAACATGGATGGAACTGGACATTGTTTTGTTGAGTGAAATAAGCCAGGCACAGCAAGATGAACTTTGCATGTTCTCACTTATTTGTGGGATCTAAAACTCAAAATAATTGAACTCACAGAGATAGAAAATAGAAGGATTGTTACCAGAGGCTGGGAAGTGTAGTGGGGAGTTTGGGTGAAGTGGTGGGAATGGTTAATCTGTATAAAAATAGAAAGAATGAATGAGACCTAGTAGTATTGGATAAAACAACCCAGAGACTATAGTCAATTTTAATTTAATTGTACATTTAAAAATAACTAGATAATATGATTGGATTGTTTGAACACAAAGGAGTAATACCTGGGAGATGTATTCCCAATTTTTCATGATGTAGTTATCACACATTGCATGCCTGCCCCAAAATATCTTCTGTACCCCATAATTATATATACCTACTTTCCATCCACAAAAATTAAAAGTAAATTTAAAATTGAGAGAAAAGGTAAAAAGAAAGAATCAGCAATGGAGGCCATTTATATCTATATGCTTTAGTTTCAGTTAGTAACAATTAAAAACGAGGGCTCATTTGTTTTTTTTTAAAACCACATGCTAATCTAGATAGTATTGAATACATTCCTTGTTATAGTTACACTTTCTTACTTTGCAAGTTTTCCTTTTATATTTTTCTTAGTGAAAATCAATATGGATTAAATGTTTAGTACCAGTATTTTTTCCTATGACTTCCAAATCCTTAGTCTTTTATCTTGATTCATTTCTTGAAGGTTTTATTATAGCATGCTTGATAATGTCTGTCTTTTGTCTTATTGCCGATTGGAACATTAGATGTATTTAGTGAGTCACAATTTCCTTTCTTCTGCTTGTGGTAGATATTTTTTCATTGTCTTCTGACCCTGAGCATGGTGCTAGTTAGCTCTTTATCACAGTTTTTTTTTCACTGAACTTTTGTTTAGTTCAGTTTAATTGTCAAATAATTTTTTCCTGCAGGTAGAATTTATAGTAGTTTTATTACCTGAGGGTTTTTAAAAAATATATATTTGAGAATGTCTGCTACATTTATATTTGAATGGGAGATTGACTGAGGACACTATCATTTGGTCAGGTCACTTTGTCTTAAACCTTGTGTATAATGATTTGCCATTTTCTGGCTCTGACTGCTGTAAAGTAATCTGAAGCCTCCTAGATTCTCTCTCTCTCTCTCTCTCTCTCTCTCTCTCTCTCTCTCTCTCTCTCTCTCTCTCTCTTTCTCTCTCTCTCTCTCCTCTCTCTCTCTCTGACACATGTGGCAGGCTTCTTTCCTGATTGAATGTTTGGAGAAATTTCTCTTTATCTTTGAAAGTCGGTAACTGGTCCAGGATTTTGTTTCAGTGTCAGTAATTCAGCCTTTTTTTAAAAATGTGGGTTCTTTGTCTGTAGAACATGTTACTCCTTATTTTCAAAGAAATTTTCTGTTTCTGTATCTTTGAATTGTT